GATTGCATCCTATGTATCAATAGCAGCAAAGGGAGAGGGCCCCCGGCTCGGGGATTGTGGCAGATCACTTTCATGCCAGCGGAGTTTGCGACGTAATGAGCTCATACTGGAAGCATCTTGAACAGAAAACCGATTCATTGTCGCAGTAGGGACATTTTTAGATACGTGCCCGAATTTTCTCCTCTCGCGCAACCCATTCGTTCGGAATTGGAGGAGTTCGTCATCCGATCGGGGCGAGAAAGATTTGGTCCGTAAAGTTTCCATTGAGTTTTTCGAAGCAGTTCTCAAGCTGCAGGAACTTCTTCAGTGGCATTGGATGTTTGCTGTGTCAGTCGAATAAGGAACGGTGACGCAGTTGGTAGGACGGTACTACCGCTTTCCAAGTGATATTAAGTACTAGACAAGGAGGGGTAGTCTGAAACTACTGCTTCTGTTAACATCACACTTCATTATTTCTTCTAGAAGTATCACAGATTATTACATTTAATCCCTTTTCCCAGTGTTTTACCAAATTTTGAAATTAGGATAGTTATGGTACGTATTGCACCCGGGTCAAAGAGATACGCTTGGTATTAAATTATTTATTTACTGCGAAAGGTGGTGCTGAAGATCTGGGTCTTTAAAGAAAAATGCAATAAAAGAATAAACCTATGAAAAGATTGCTTAAAAACTTAAAGCACAGTAATCCAAGGGGAGTCCTGTAAGATTTATGTACTATTTCAAGAGTAATTTCTCAGTAAGAATCTTATAGGAATGTAAAAATCCTCAAAGAATTGCATTTACAGATTTAATTGTAATTCCTTTTATATTCTTACAGAAATTGCATGGAAGTATCGTTCAAAGGCTCCTCTCTCGAACTCGCCTGCCCTTGCAGAGTGGCTGTACCCTCCGCTCCGTGTTGCTGTGGCCGGCTTAAAAAACAATGGAAAATATTACTGACAGTGCCCTCACTTGCCATTAAAGCAGACAGGATATTTCAGTTACGCTGATGTGCAAATACAGCTTGTCAAAGGGCTCTGTGCTATTTTTGTTTCAAATAGCATGCGTAGGGTATGAGTAACAAATAAATACACCTAATTTGTGCCTTGAAAAAGGAGCGGTTTTCCCAGTTTTTCTCTTTTTTTTTTCTCTTTTTTTTTTTCTTTTTTTTTTCCCCAGAAGACCTGCCCTCGCAGAACCTTTAATCTCTCCCTGTCCTTAAATCTGGGATTTCCGGATGATTGGCTTTTAATGGCGCTATTTTTGTTGCGTGCCATTTTTAGCAAGGAGCAAATCCTATTTTTTTATTTTTTATTTAACACCACCCCCCCCCGCCTCCAGTGTTGAAAACCCCTTTTTCTCCCCAAATGCATATTACAGGGGGAGCGAGGAGGGGCACCCTTGGCCCCACCACTGCAGACCGAAGGCTGACGGAGGGACGCCACATCCCTT